TTAATGATTTATTTGTGAATGAAAAATGTAGATATCATTGCCCTAAAGCTAACCATGTTCATAGTTTTCATTAATTTTGCTTGAGCTTAGAGAATTTTAAGATTGAAGTTTCTGAGATTTTTAGGGTTCAGATCAGGGCCATTAAAATTCATGCTTGTCTTTAATCTATAATTTTATTGCTTTGCATTTCTGAAATCGTGAGGAAATTTGCTACAAGTTTCCTGTTTATATTTTCCACTTTTGCTGAGAATTGAACAAGATACAGAGACTCTGGATGGGCGTGAGGTTGAAGATGAAGTTCAGGCCATGGACTTGTTTACTATCATATATTTGTTGTTTTGATTATATAAACAGATGTATAGCCACCCCAGTGGTAGAAGCGCGCGCCTGTGACTTTAGGCACCTGGGTTTGAACCCCAGTGGTACCCTTTTAGATTTTTTTTTGCATATTTCTCACATTCTGACTTTTTTGGACATGCGCTTGGGCCTCTCTTGGGCCTTATGTTTTTTTCTTATTGTTGACCCCCTTGTTGGCTATTTACACCCTGACCCATTTTTATTTTCTTTTTCTTAATTTATTTATTTGTTTTCTTAAATATTTTATCTAATACTAAAAAAAAATCAGAAAAAATATAAAAAACATTAGATTTATATTTTGATAAAGTTTATTTATTTTTTACATAAAAAATTATTTTTATTTAATCATACTTTATTTATTTTACTAATTGTTTTTGTAAATTTAATTAAAGAAACTAGGGTTTTAGTTATTTTCTTTTACACCATTTAAATATATTATTTAAATAAAAAAACCAAAAATATTTTATAATACTATAAATTATTTTTAAAGACAAAAATACCAAAAACATTCCTCTTATAAACTTAATTTCTTTTAAATCAATTATTAGATTAAGGTTTTTATTTAATTTCTTTTCCTAGTAAATTTAGGTTTTATCTTTTACTAATTTAATTAATTATTTTTCTTTTAGTTAATTAGGTTAAAACAAAACCCCTTTTCCCTAAAAATCCAAATAAACATCCATTTTCCTTACATTTATATTCTTGTACATTTATTCATTTTGGTACATTATTTATCCAAATTCAATATGGTTGTAATAGATAATTAGGTTTTATTTTCTTGCAATCCCCATTTGTAATTTGTACACACCCCCCCCCCCCCCCCCCCCCCCCCCTCCCACAAGTATTGTAATAGCGTAGTAATTTTAAATTCTGTAATTTATCGCTTTATATGCAAAATGCTATTAATTATGGTTTATATGGAAAGACCAAAACCAATCAATTAGAAAACTATAATCAAAGACAAAATCAAGCATGAAAAACAATACACTTGCACATAAGCACCCCTAGGGTAAATCCACCTGGTTGCCTTACAGAATGGCCATATTACGCATGTGAGGTATCTTAGCAAAAACAAGCAAAATATAAGATCATATTCCCTCGATGATGCTATCTATGTTGCCTTTCAAATGATCTTAGTCCCTAAAAGAGAATGCTAAGATACCTTTCAACATTGCTAATCATGGTTATACGATGACTCACACCCATCCCGTTTACATCCAAAGATAGGGTTACTTACCAAATCAACGGTAGGATAATAATGTCAAAGGAAAGAGGAAATGAACATGAAAGACTTTTGAGTAGGTAGAGTGCTCCTAGTTACTTGCTCACTTTCAAAACAAAACATCCTTGTTATTTTCAAAACAAACACCTACACTTTCCAAAACATCTTTCAAACTTGAAAACATTTTCAAAAGATCAAACACTTTGTATACATTCTTACGAACGAGAATCATTACAAAGTTTGCCTAAACAATGGCCTCTTTACAAAATACTTTCAAAAACCATACAAAGCACAATTTCAAACAAAAGCAAGTGATCTAGAAAGTAACTAAGAGCCCATAGAAAACCATGGATGAAAAGGGTGCTAATACCTTCCTTTTTTATAATCTACCCCCCGAACTCAAGAAACAATCTCAAAGGTCTTTCCTGTGCTTTTTCACATTTCCTTTTGGATAAAAGAAAAGTCGGTGGCGACTCTTGCTAACCGCAACATTTATGATCAAACGCAAAACACCCAAGTTAGTTCTCCCACCGTATCACAGTAATCATGACGCTAAAGAAAACAACTTGAAAAGTTTTCTCTTGCACCGCACTCATTATTATTCATGCATTGCATTACATGTTTGGTAATGTTTTATTCTGGTTATTTATCAATTTTGCATCATTACATATATATGGGGATATGTGATTGTTGCTCTTCTTTGCAAAAATGTCTCTGAGTGATATATTAGTATTTATGTTGAATTATGATACTTCTCACGGTTTTCTATCCTTTTTTTTATGTTGTCAAATGGGGAGAAGTATATGTGAGATGAAGTTTGGAAGCACAAAGTCATGGGGATCCTTCAATAACAACATGAAATGCCTTGTTGCAAGTTTTGACATCATAAAAAAGAGGGAGTATGTGAGTGCAACTTCACCATTAGATGTTTTGCATGAAGTCAAAACAAGGAAAACTTAGCGTTTCTGTATATTGGACGGTATCTCAATGTCATATGGTGCACCCTTGCATTAAAGGTTTTAGGAATCATTTAAAACTACATTGATATTGGCCAAAAACATCAAAAAAAAATTTCTGCACAAAAGTCACCTGTATGTGTCGGCACATACGATTTTTAGGCTGACACATGTAACTCAATAATGAAGCTTATCGCTTCTGTTTTGTACCGGCCGACGCATGCAGCTTTCAGCCAGCACATACTATAAGTTTCAGTTCAATGTTTCGGCACATCCGACTTTTAGGCTGATACATCTGCCTTAATATTGAAAGTTGTAGCTTATGTTTCCCATAGGCCGACACATAATCCTTTTCAGGCTAGAACATACTGTTGTTTTCAGCTCTATGTGCTGGCACTTCCGTATTTCAGGCCGACACATACTGTTTGTTTGGGTCAATTTTTTAAAGTTTATAATTCCGAAAATGACCTATTTTCCTACAAACTTTCACAACTATAAATACATCACTCATGCATATTTCCAACTCTATGAAACTATAAAAACTTACCACTCCTTCAACCTCCAACCTATGCATACACACTGATAAATCACACATAATCATCTTTTTTTAGGGTGCCATCTAGGCGAGGTTTGATCCAATTAAGTTTTGTGTGACCGAGAATATTGGGTTAAGAATTATGGGGGTTCCATCCGAAAAAACCTAGGTTTTATCCTCCAAGATCTTTGGTAGATTTGGGGGTTTTGTACAATACTTTCAAAAGAAGATTACGGCCAAGTGAAAGCTTTAGAGTTAGGGTAACCCAAAAGGAGTAGCGAGAGAACGGCTAATCAAATTGGAAGTTTTATGTTCAATAGTTACAATTGATCCTGCGAGAAGAGATTTGGAGTTAGGGTAACTTAAGGGAGTAGTGAGATTCGGTAAATCAATTAGGAGTTATTGTGTCTTGGTCTTGTTGAAGATTAAAAGAAGAGAAGGGGTTGAATCAACAACAAACAGTTAGAGTTTATAGGGTTGCTCTTGGAACACTTCTCTTGTAATCAAATTTTTTCAAAGTAAGATTGATATCTCAATTTCATTTGAAATTGAGGGCAGGTGTAGCCATTACGAGGACGAATGGTGAACTGCCTGTACAAATCATTGTGTTGCACTCTCTTATCTTTTTACTCGCTTTTATTTTTCATTACGTAATTTATTGAATTTCATTATTTGATCTATCCACTCGAAAGAATTTTTCTGTTATTGTTTTTGTTTAAATTGACTTGTTGATTAACTTATAATCACTTTGATTATAAGTGCTTTTTCTTATCAACAAAACTTAAAGGAAAATTTGACCGCATACAAGTGTTTGACAAATGACATTGTTCTATATTTCTGTTTAATTACATTGAAAATAGGTTGCTAGTTAATTATGATAAACGAGTAATAAAGTGTTTATTATTTTAAGTGTATTAATTCCTCTTATCAATTCATTTATTCCATAAGGCTTTTTGCATATCTGTGTCCCAATAGCTAGGTCCGTATAGACGACTTTTATCGATCTACACTAAAACCTTCCGCTTGCACTCTTTTTAAATAATTTTTTTTAACTACCAAATTTTTTATTCGTATTTTTGGCTTGGTGATCTATTCATCCCCCTCTAGATAAGTCGTCGTCTAACAGACGACTTCTTCTTTCATTCACTATGTAATGTTTAAAATAGTGAACTATTATGGTTGATATTTGCATATGATTTTTATTCTATTACAACTTATGAGTGCAATCCATTTTATCATTTGGTGGAATAAGGGTTTTAAAAAATGGTCGCGATCACGTTAAGACTTTCGCGATTTCGATTGTCATGACACTAACTACAGTCGTCACAGTGTGAATTAAAAAAAAAATATTTTATATTAAAACAATGATAACATTATTGATAACGACATTATGCCGAAGCCATTTTCGCGGTTCGCGGATCGTTTTTTAAAACCTTGAGAATAAGTATTAGATAACAGATGAAGAAACAAAAAAAATAGATGCTCCCTTGGAGTTGTTATGACAATGTTTTATATTTGAGCTACACGTGGAACTGTGTATATGTACAATCATGTGCCTCAAAATCTTTATGTTCTCTCAATATATTTTTCATAACATACTAGTAGGAAACTCGTGTGTTCGCACAGATTCAGTTATGGATGACTATTTTTTCATCATTTAGGGTTAGAATACAAAATATAAAATAAGAATAACAAATTTAAGAAAGTAGAATAAGAAAATATAAAAAAAAAATAGAAATCAAATTAAGTGGATACATAAATATGTGATTAAAAAAATATATAAAATTAGATAAACAAAAGGAAGTGATAAATAAATCTGCAGCAGATCGTTACCATGCAAAGGGAAAAGCCAAGGCAGGGTCGAGTGATGATAACGTAAATAGTATCGATCAAGGAGTGAATGACGGTCATTCTACAGGCGACAACTTCGATGATCCAATTGAGCTTTCCTTTGACAGTCAAAGGTACAATAGTTTGTAAGGTTATCAACTTATTAAGTGTGTTGAACTGTTAGTTTTGATGTTATTTGTAGGGCTAAGCATCAATAACATTAGAATGAAACCACTGGTAATTGTTATATTCTGATATCAAGCAGACCGTATAGTCTGATTATTAGACCGTTGGAAGAGGAGTTGTGGTCCAAGGTTGTAGAGTCTTCAAACATTTTTTCTATAAACATATTGGTAAGTTAAAGAGATAACACATAGTAGATGAGAGTTTTAACTGCAAAATATTTTGTTCTATACTGAGTTCAACTTTGGTGTTGTGTAGCAAATACCAGCACGTGTGATGAAGAGTTATTTTGCTGAACTGCTAAGTACAATATAGTTGTATGATGAGGAACTTGGTGAGGAGCATGGATGTGTTTTGAAAAGGATGGGTGTAACGCATTAGACATACCTTTCAAAGGGATGGTACAAGTTCGCCAAAGGAAGAAATTTTTAGGAGGGAGATATCTTGAGATTATGTATTAGATATCCTCCGGTGACGGAAATCATAGTCCGCGTGGAGCGTGGGAATGAGAATCGTTGAAGACGGGTGAATGGTTTGGATGGTGTTGTTGGGGACAAATCAATGTTTTGTTTGAAAATGAAGCAACGAATGTGAAAAAGTGATGTTGAAGTTCTTAAAACTGTTGCAGTTATTATTAACATGTAATGTGTAATGTTTAATATTTTGATAGATGCTAAGAGAAACATGTATTATGTAGTAGTTAATAGTTTGTTTTGAAAACATGAAAAGGTTGTTGTTGGCCTTTATAGTATAAGTGTAGTTTATCTGTAATGGTATTTTTGTGCACAAGTATAATATTAATGATATTTGTTTTAAGTTTTACTTCATGTATATAATTCCAATTGTTGTAGTATTGTTGTCAAAGAACAATTTAAAACGGTGGTGGAAAATCCACCTCAAATGTAAAGTTAACAGGTAGAAACGAAGAAGTCATAAATATTGTACTGTCAGTGTACCTTGGTTAGAGTTAAATAAGAATAAGTGTTGCAGGATATGCCCACATGTTTTTGTCCTTAATACTTTGTTTGTTGGCTGTTAAAGTAAGCAAAGGAATCCATTTCTATCATTTCTCACACGTAAGTGGTTTGTTTGGTTGACAACATTAAATTCGTTATGCATAAAGACCAAAAAGTACCATTAGCTTGATCTGATCTATAAAGTGAATGGAGGGATATTGTTGGCACCTGAAAGTTACAACTCCATGAGTAATAATTGAGCAACTGGTTGAGCAAGAAATAAATGTTGAGATCCAATTCAAAGTGTTGTGGTTAAAACTCATAAAAAAGTTCATTTACATCATTTTCCAAGGTGAGTTTTCATAAGACATAGAGAGCTTTGCAGTTGACATTCAGAACCACTTGATAGACACCTTTGATATTGCAAAACTATCCTTCCAAGTAATATGCATAAAGGTTCTTTCCATTTAAGTTTGTGGATGGTATGTATGCATAAATGTATGAATTGTATGTCTAAATATGTAATTTTAAATGGATATGTAGTCATACGCAGAGATTGAGTCATTGCTTGCTAGAAAGCATAGTGCAGATTTGGAGAGTACTTGGTCGATTGTATATAATGAAGCTATAAGTCATCGGATGGTTTATAATGAAAATGAGGATCATCCAGTGCTACTCTCAGGGTGGAAGGAACTCCAAAATATTATTTACTACTTGATGATGTCATGGTTATTGTGGGTTATTACGGGAAGAACTCGTTTGAGGTTGTAGCTTTTAAAGAGATTAACAGATTGGAGGACTTACCGAACTCTCATAGTAGGTTTACCAACCAAAAAGGGATATATGTTTCTGATGTCGAGTTGACAACATTCAATGTTTCGACAATAAAATTAGTTGAGTATAACATGTTACTTGAATTAATAAGGTACGACGTACGTTTAGACAACAATGTTTGACTAACTGATTTCAATATTATGTTTGTAGGAACTGCAGGCCGAATTTGCCTGTGTATTGCAAGCCAACGACTATGAGGTTTTGGCACTATGCGAGGCCAATGAAAGCAGTGAAATGGTATCAATTTTGAACCCAAAAGATCAAAACTGTACAAAGTTAGGTTATGAATGGGATGAATTTTGCAAGTCTAACCACTTTAAAGGAGGCGAAGCAATTAGATTCAGATTGGATGTTACCGATGAAAACAAAACATGTCACATGTATAAGGTTAGTTATGCGCAACTGAAATTTTTATTAGTTAATGAAGAGTTGTATCCATGAATAATATCCAGAATAATTCACAATTATGTACTGAGTTAATACATCCTGCATTGTATAAAATATACAAATATCCATTGTGATGGCATTCTATAAGTAAGCCTAATTATAACACGGAATAATCCTACATAACACGTAAAAATATGAAAGAATAAACACAATTTGAGATGAGGCCCCAATCATATATTGTTAAAAACTTTCTTGTATACAATGTTCGTTGTTGTAGATTTTGCAACCTTTCCTTCATCATGAACCAAAACTTTAATTCCTTTCTTGTTGGCAACCCTTGAAAGTGCAACATAGATTTTTAAGTGAGTAAAAGTGTCTCTAGGAATGTAAAGGCCCACCCAATCAAGCGACTGACCTTGTGATTTGTTAATCGTCATCACATAGGAGACAATGATAGTGAACTATCTCCTGTTGAGTTTGAAAGGCCACGGAGATTGAGAAGGAGACATATTCATCCTGGGAATATATACAATGTTTCCATGTTTTGTCCCCCCCCCCCCCCCCCCCCCTAATAATATGGGCCTCAATTACGTGTGTGGCCATCTTAGTCACAATAAGTCTTATACCATTACATAACCCTTCACACTAATCGATGTTCCTCCTTAACATAATTGGTGCACTGATCTTCAGCTTGATGTGATGGTTAGGCAAACCGGAAGTTTTTTAAGAGCTTAGAAACTCAGGTGTGATAATATCAAACATGTCTCAGTCATGTATTTCTGATCGGCCAACAGAGTTACTGCTAAAGTAATCTATTAAATTCGCCTGCCGCAAAAAAATGATAGACATGAATACGAATAAATGATTTCGTGAGATATGTGTAAAACAGTTGGTATGCCGTAAAAATACCCGGTATAATATCCAATACATGATCATTAATTTTGTCAACCATTTCAATGGTTGATGCCAAGATAGCCCTACTTTTTAGGTAGTTGTAGTCATGAAAATTAGCGAGAAAGTCTGGGTATGTGCTCGTGACTATGGCTGAAATTGGATCATCTAAATCTGTGATAAGCATCTCCGGAGGAAAATCGATTTTGGTAGTCCCATCATTTGGTTCTCCAAGTCTACCTTCCCTAATTTTTATCAGCCAATCGGAGAATGTAGATGTTTATGTCCTCTCTTGTTCCGTTAGACCGCTAGTCAGACGCATATTTTTTGTTAATGTTAACACCTGTACCAAGTGCCATATGTAGGAGGCGTTAATGGTGGCATGCATAATGTCAGAACGACTTCCTCTGGGTACTATCGACAATATATGTCTAAAGTCTCCTCTAAAAACTACCACCTTGCCACCAAAAACCTTGTTGGAGTTTCCATAGCTACTCATGAGATCCTTTAAAGTTCTATCAAGAGCTTAAAAACACCATTTGTTTTCCATCAAGGCCTCGTCCCATATAATTAACTTAGCTTGTCGAAGTAGATTTGCTGAATCTTTATTATATTTGATGTCGCAAGTAGAGTTATCCAAAGTATGGACAGGAATTTTGAATCTAGAGTGAGCAGCTCTCCCGCCAGGTAATAACATTGATGCAATACCACTGGTTTCAACAGTTAGGCTGACGTCGTGCTTGGATCTGATTGCACTCGTGAGTGTCTGCCATATGTACGTTTTCCTGGTACCCCCATATTTGTGTAGGAAGAACACTTAACCTTTCTGACTTGTAACAGCATCCATGATTTTTTCATGTATATCGCGCTACTCATCTATTAGGAATTAACGATTATGCAAAGAAAAACATAAGGTTGTAGTGGATATTGAAATATACAATGTAAAGTAGGTACACACTTGTAAGTGCAGCATGAAGTGCAGCGAAGTCGTCTTTCATTGTTTGAATGTCGTAATTGCGTTCTTCGTATATAAGGAAATTTCTAAGTTGCTCTAACACATAAGCGTCAGGATAGGGTATAGGGTAAAAGTCTTCAAGGCTTCTTCTATTAGACTGAAGCAGAATCTCAATTTCTGTTAAAGTGAGATTCTTAAGTTGTTCATCATTCAACATAAGTTCTGTGTGAAATGAAAACAAAGTGAGCAATTATGAATAAACACAACAGGAATTTATCTCAGCAATTTCAATGAGTTAGTTAAGTGAAAAATAATGTAAGTATATAGTGATTAGTAATGTATAATGTACCTTTGTCATTAACCAAAAGTCTTTGCTTGTGCAACAGACCATCCGATAATAACACCCAGTACTCCTTCCACACATGTGTAGACTTATTGACATCTCTAGACAGTAGCATGACAACAAATAGCTTGCGTAGAAAATGCCCCAACCCCCATTCACTTGCCTCTTTAATGGCTCCAATGTATTCTCTGTCATCTTGTAGTAAGCCCATGGAAAAACACGCATCCCTAAATGATTCGCATTGGATATCGCCATCCTTTTTAATCTTCTCATAGGTTGTAGATCCCCGTACAACCGTCAGCATTATGTGCAGATAAAAAAATTTCTGGTAGAAGGTGGCACCCAAATCAAGCGGCCAATGGTGTAGCCTTTTTTCCTTGGCTTCCACATCCAAGTTCTCTTATGGTAAACAAACTGGGTCTCAAATTGGTCGTATGTTAATTCCCTCGCATCGGCATAAGTCTAGTTTGCAACTAACCAGGACGAAAACATAGATTCAGTTACGCTTTCCCTCTCTAAAACATTTTCCATGTGATCATGGCAGGTGTAGTACAGAGACTTCTAACCAATAAGATGGAAAAACATACGTTCCACCGCAGGTTTCCGTCCATGAATGTTGTAACAGAAGATTCTCCAACTTGCTTCGCAAGGAGAGACGTATCTATAGTCAAGATATTGTTTAATTTCATCGACAGGTTCGTTAGCATTAGTGAGTTAATGCGGTTTATGTACTACAGACGCGATAGTTCTGCCATGTCCTTTGCGGATGTATTTGAAAAGATACTTGATTGATGTACTCTGATTACACCACTCTATGTTAATATGTGCTTGGTATTTCAAAAGTAATTTTGTGTTGTAGGATACAACATGCCTATTGTCCAAAGGGATCTCATTTTTTAGAATGACGTATGTAGATGAACGTCGCCTATATTGAGGATACCCATCGGCATCGACAATGTTGTTTTCTATGAATTTCTTAGGAAAGAACTTAGTGCATTTCATGTTGTTCATTCAAGGGGATAATGGCCTAGACAAACCACATGGACCATGCACAATATGTGATTTAACCAAGTTGTACAAAGATGGATGCTTTGCGGGGTCAGGTATTTCGGTGCAAATGATTTGGTCGATGTCATCAGGGGTCGGGTATTTACTTTTAGGATGGAGGAAAATCAAAATGTGAGTGTGTGAGAGGCCTGTTTTTTCAAATTAGATGGTATACATAACTGCCTAATTAAAAATATAAAAATAATCAGTTGATAATAATTAACCGACAGTTATAACAAAAAACATAAAGGAATCACTTACATGCCATAACGCGCCCAGTCACATGTTTCCTTGTTATATCGCGCATAAGTTCTTCAAATTTAATATTGAAGACTTTTGCCACAATATCCGGACAGTCATTTGGACTCAAGTTCTTGGGATCAAGTTGGCGTTTAATTTCAAGCTAATTAGGGTTGCATGTGAAGGTTATAAACAGGTCTGGAAAACCCAATTTACTTGAAATTTCCATGCCGTCAAAATAGAGTTGGTCCATATACCTTTTGCTCCCGATAAAAGTCGAAGGCAACACGACCATCTTTCCATGTTTTTTACTTTCATGTGAAGTCCCTGCGTCAGCTTGCTATTGTAAGATATTATATTTTCCAACTCTTAATTTTGACTAATTTTTTCTAAACAAGTTAAGTCGCTCGGACTCCATCATAGTGTAATCATCCACCAAAAACTGTTGGAAAAGACATCACGAGTGAAGCAAAGTCTTAGGTTCATTGATCAGTGGTTTTGACACAGACATTTAGCATTTATATTAGTTTTAGTTTTTTTATTTTGTCAAGTGTTTTATTTCATTCTTCTATGTTTTATGCGGTTGTTGTGTATTTTGTTGTTTTCGGACTCAGAGGAATAAAACTAGGAAAGTCAGTGCGAAAAGTGCAAATTCAGAGTTTGAAGGAAGTCTCAAAAACCAAGATACAGGGTGCCTGGCACGGTGTTGGCTCCTAAATTCGACACCCTTGTTTTATTAATATCAGCCATTAAAGCTGAAGGATGTTTTCGACCAGCTGGGTCTGTCGAAATGCCCATCGAAAGGTGGCAATGTACTTAGAGGATTTCTTCCAAGGGAGAAGTTGGGTGCCTTCGACGTCGAAGGTGTTTCTCGTCGAAGATGCTTCTCGACGAAGGTGTTCGATGGTTCAGAGTGGAACGGTTTGAAATTCAAGCGTTTGGAGGGAAAACGGTTTCCAGCGGTTACCAAGTGCAACGTGCAAAGATCTGGAGCGTCGAACGCTGAGAACGTGCCAAGTGGAGTCATCTCGAAGCAGTGTAACTGTCCGACGGTTACTTGGGATGTTTTAGTATAAATAGTAGTAGTTCACGCAGTTTTTCGCGTGTGTTCACAATTATATACAAAGTCACTCATATAGATTCGAGTACCCAGCGTGTGAGAAAGAATTGTTGAGAATGTATGTGTGAAACACCACTTTTATTAATCAAAGTCATTTACTTTCCAGAAACTTTACTTGCTTTCTTCTTTACTTTTCCTGTCGAAGCCTTTTTATTTCAAGCCTTCATTTATTTTATCAAGCCCATTTCTTCGTGCACTTTACTTAAAGCCTCTTTATTTTCTTGTCATTTTACCATTATCCAACTTAATCAAAACCTCAAAATCAACCATGTCTTAGGATCGATCCTGCGAGTAACCAAATAAGTAACCATTTGGAGGATCAGCGATTGTTTACCAATAACCACGGTAAACAAATTGGCACACCTAGTGGGACCGTGTGTTGATTGTTGAAGTTTAACCTTTTAAACATAATCTCATCTTTTTCGAGGAGTGTTGTATGTTATTGAGAAGTGGTAGAA